TGTTTAATAAAAATATTAATAGGTCCACCATTATTTTGAAAACGATAAGAAAAGAATTTAAAAAAATGTCCTCGGTTAGTGAAGCTGTTAGTGTCGAAAAACCTAATGTGAGCCCTCAAGTTTCAAAAAATAAACAAACAAAAAAAGCTTCTAAAGAAGGGGCTGTTAGTGTATTCCCCTTTGAGGTGATTATCACTATTGTGTTATTTTATAATCTAACTGTACATTACTAATTTTTGGTCTATGATGAAAGGTATCTCCTCCACCCGAATATTTGCAACATCGTATCAAATTATTTGAAGAATGGAAAGCGGCATATGATGAAGAAATCAAAAGTAAGTCTGCATGTTACATCAAAAGATCTGTTTTATAACGCGGTTCAATTGTAATGCGTCTTAGAACACTTAGGTGACACATTCATTGCCCTCACTCAAATGCTCGTATAGAGAAGCCACGCGTTCCAATTACTGTAACTTTTCCGGACGGAAATACGAAAGAAGCTATTGCTTGGGAGACTACCCCTATGGACCTTGCTAAACAGATATCTAAATCATTATCTGAACGCATCGTGATCGCCAAGGTTTGCTATTTTATTTTTCGTGAATTCTTTAAAGATTCAAAAATAAATCTATATTTTTTCTTTTATTAGGTTAATGGTAAATTATTTGATTTGATCCGACCACTTGAAACAGATTGTACTTTGGAATTATTAGATTTTGAGAACGATGAAGGTAATTAATTCGATTTACAGTATCTCATAAATAATTTGTCACGTAAACTAATATTATCTTAGGAAAAAAGGTATTTTGGCATTCAAGCGCTCATGTTCTTGGTGAGGCTTGCGAACGTCATTATGGATGTCATCTTTGCATCGGACCGCCTCTAGATGATGGCTTTTACTACGAAATGGCTATTAAAAATCGGTAAATATATTATATTATTTATTTGTCATTTTATTTGATGTTCAATATTAAACTAATTAATTGATTATGTTTCTTAAGTGTTGTGCAACAAAACGATTATGAAACTCTTAAAATGATCGCGAGAGAAGCCATCAAGGAGAAGCAACCTTTCGAACGATTGGTTATTTCCAAAGAAAATTTGTTGGAAATGTTTAAGGTATTTTTATTTATTATAATAATTTCATTATTAATAATTGGTATTTGTAAAGAAATTACTAATAAATCTTATTCACATTATTGTTGTTAGCATAATCAATATAAGGTTTATCTAATTAACTCAAAAGTTCCTGATGGAACGTCCACCACTGTGTATCGTTGTGGTCCTTTGATAGATTTGTGTATGGGTCCTCATGTCCCGCATACTGGTAAAATTAAAGCCTTTGAAATCACAAAGGTTAGTTTTCTAAAATGTCTAATCAGATATATATATATATATTTATTTGTTTATATTTAGTATAATGGAATTGTATCAATGATAAAAAAAATGATAATCAATATTAAAATATAAAATATTTTAGAATTCGGCATCTTATTTCCTTGGTGATTCAAAAAATGATTCACTTCAACGCATATATGGTATATCTTTTCCGGACACAAAACAAATGACTGAATATAAGAAATTTGTTGAAGAAGCTGCAAAACGTCATCATAGAAAGATCGGTCAGGTATTATTATTACCTGGATAGATGTTGCTTGTCATTCGTATAGTCATTTATTTAATGTTGATGCGTATTTTATCATAGGATCAAGAATTATTCTTCTTTGATGAACTCAGCCCTGGAAGCTGCTTCTTTCTTCCAAATGGTACTAGAATTTATAATACACTCATGGACTTTATCAAGGTTTGTATTATTGAAAGGAATTATTAATTATGCTATACACGTCTGTCGTTCATAAAGTTTAATGACTTGAAAATATTATTATATAGTCTGAATATCGGAAAAGGGGATATCAAGAAGTGATTACTCCAAATATGTACAATACAAAATTATGGGAAATATCAGGACATTTACAAAATTACGAGGTTTGTCTCTCGAATTGTTAATCCCATTTTACGTACAAGTTTATAAATCAAAATCGAAATACCTTTTCATCAGGAAAATATGTTTTGCTTCGAAGTCGAAAAAGAAAAATTTGCGTTGAAACCAATGAACTGTCCAGGCCATTGTCTAATGTTTAAGCATAGAGATAGATCATATCGTGAATTGCCTATTCGTTTGGCTGATTTTGGTGTTTTACATCGCAATGAATTAAGTGGTGCTTTGGCTGGGTTGACACGTGTAAGGCGCTTTCAGCAAGATGATGCTCATATCTTTTGTCGACATGATCAGGTTAGTTGATCTTATATATATATATATATATATATATGTATATCATCATATTTCATACTTTTTTCATTTGATTAATCAATTTTATTTCATTATCAGGTAGAAGAAGAAATCAATGCTTCACTGGAATTCTTAAAATATGTTTATGGCGTTTTCGGTTTCACTTTCCAACTTAAATTGTCTACTAGACCTGAAAAGTACTTGGGTACTATCGAAGTTTGGAATCAAGCTGAAAAGGTGTGAATTAAATTAAATTATTCATTATGTTTCATATTTATACATATTTTGGTTATTGATTAATTTATTTTATTTGTAGAGGCTGGAAGAGGCTCTTAATAAATTTGGTGAACCGTGGGAATTGAATCCCGGTGATGGTGCTTTTTATGGTCCAAAGGTAATACTTTAATTAATACTTTCATTAATTAATACTTTCATTAATTAATACTTTCGTTAATTAATACTTTCGTTAATTAATACTAATAATTTATTAATTGTGTAATTACCAAATATTTTATGTCCATTCTTCATAACTTTTAAATCTAAATTTATAATCATATTCAAGATTGATATTACTGTATCTGATGCTATCAAAAGAAAGCATCAATGTGCGACATTACAACTTGATTTCCAACTTCCTGAACGATTTCAACTTGAATATCATACCAATGTGGTTGGTGACTCTGAAGGATCATATGCTCGTCCAGTTATGATCCATCGTGCTATATTGGGCTCAGTAGAACGTATGATTGCCATTTTGGCTGAACATTTTGCCGGGAAATGGTAACCAATGTTTTATAACTTATTGATTATTAGGTATTCATTTTATCATTGCTAATGACTAACACTCCTTTTCTTTTTTAAAGGCCTTTCTGGTTATCTCCTCGTCAAGTGATGATCATTCCAGTAGCAAATCCCTTTAGCGATTACGTTAAAGTAGTTTATAAGGCTTGTTTTGACGCTGGTTTATATGTTGAATACGATTTGGGTGAAAATACTTTAAATAAAAAGATTCGAAATGCTGAAATTGCTCAATTTAACTTTATTTTCGGTTAGTTACATCAAGATTAATATCAATAGTATGTATTTATACATAATCTAATTACTAATCTAATTCAATTTTTTTATGAATTCATTAATAGTTGTTGGTGCTGAAGAAGAATCTACCAAATCAGTTAATATTCGTAATAGAGATGATGTAGGTACCAAGGCAAAAGGTCAAACCATTCCTCTGGAAGAAGCTGTTGAAAAACTTGTGAAACTGAAAAATGAAAAGCGACTTCAAAATAGCTTGTAATAAAAGTATTTCATTTGGGTTAGATGGTTAATTTTATAATACACATATATTTATATTATTCATAAAATTTTTTACTTTTTGTCCGCCTATTTGTATTGTATTATGTTAATATAAATTGTCAAGCACGTGATTGTAATTTGTCATGCCCCACTTGTTTTTGTTATACTGAACGTTGGTTGGTAAATCTGAAATAGACATGTGTAGTGATGCATCAATAATTTGTAAATATGATAGAAATTAGGCTTCATATATGTTAAGCCAGACCCGCAGAACCTTATGCAAGCCCT